ATTGCCCAACCTTCCTTCCGAGGAGTGGCTGGTGGGTTTGAACCGCCAGCCTTCTGGTTAGCAGTCAAGTGCTTTAGCCACTATGCTACCAGAGCTCCCTGGGAGACCTAGCCAGGGCAATAAGGCAAGAAAAGGAAATCAATGGCATCCAAAATTGTTAACGAAGAAGTAAAACTATCTCCATTTGCAGATAATATGATCTTATACCCTAGAGATTCAGCAAGAAAACTACTGGAACTTATTGGAATATTTAGCATAGTGACCAGAGACAAGATCAACATACAAAAATCCATTGAATTCCTCTATACCAGGAAAGAGTCTCTGAAAAGGAAATGAGGGAATCAATACCATTTACAATAGCTACCAAAAAGATAAGACACTTGGGAATAAATCTTACCAGAACACAAAAGACCTATACAAAGAAAACTACCAAACACTACTTCAAGAAACTATAAGAGATCTACATAAATGGAAGAACGTACCATATTCATGGATAGGAAAATTCAACACCGTGAAGATGTCAATACAACCCAAAGCAAGCTATACATTCAGTGTAATACTGATCCAGATTCCATCAACATTCCTTAAGAACATGGAAAAACCAATCACTGATTTTATATAGAAAGGAAAGAGCTTGGATAAGCAAAGCACTACTGAAGAAGAACAAAGTAGGAGGTCTCACATTCCCAGATCTCAAAACCTACTATACAGCCACAGTGGTCAAAACAGCCTGGTATTGTTAAGACGACAGACACATAGACCATGGAACAGAACTGAGAATCCAGAAATAGATCCATCCACCTATGGTCAGCTCATCTTTGACAAAAGGCCAAAATCCATTAAATGGGGAAGAGATACTCTCTTTAACAAATGGTGGTGGCAAAACTGGATATCCATTTGCATAAAAATGAAACAAGATACATACCTCACATCATACACCAAATATAACTACAGATGAATCAAAGACTTAAATGTGAAACCTCAAAATATAAAGTTCATCAAATAAAAAATAGGGGCTAATGTAAGGGCCCTAATTTATGGCATATATAGACTACCAAGCATAACCCAAAATGCACAAACAGCAAAAGATAAACTAGATGATCAGGACCTTCTAAAAATTAAATTCTTACATGCATCAAAAGACATCTCCAGAAGAGTAAAAAGAGAAACTACCGACTGGGAAAAAATATTCAGCAATGACATATCTGACAAGGGACTTAACTCTTAAAATTTATAGAAATTTATAGAATACTAATATCTCAACATCAATAAGACAAACAATCCAATTAAAAAATGGGCAGAAGACATGAACAGGCACTTCACCAAAGAAGATATTCAGGTGGCCAACAAACACATGAAGAAATGTCCATGAACACTAGCCATTACCAAACCAAACTCACTGCCGTCGAGCCGGATCTGACTCATAGCTACCCCTCCTTGGGTTTCTGAGGTGGTATCACTACAGAAGTGGATTGCTCAATCATCTTTCCAATGAATGGCTGGTGGGTTTGAACTGCCAACCTTCTGGTTAGCAGTCAAATGCCTTAGGCACTACGCCACCAGAGCCATTAGAGAGGTGCAAATCAAAACAACAAAATACCATCTCACCCCAGCACTGATACCAAAGTTCAACAAGACAGAAAATAACAAATGCTGGCAAGGATGTGAAGAGATTGGGATTCTCATACACTGCTGGTAGGACTGCAAAATGATACAACCACTGCAGAAATCGATATGGTGATTCCTTAAAAAGTTGGAAATAGAAATACTATTTGATCCAGTAATCCCGTTACTAGGTATGTATCCTAAAGAACTAAGAGACAGGATACAAAGAGATATATGCACACCCATGTTCACTGTAGCACTATTCACAGTAGCAAAGAGGTGGAAACAACCTAAATGTCCATCAACAGAGGAATGGGTAAGCAAACTGTGGTGCATACACACAATGGAATACCATGCAACCCCAAAGAATAATGTTTAATCTGTAAAATACCCTGTAATGTATATGAACTTGGAGGACATTATGCTGACTGAAATAAGTCAATCACAGAAGGACAAATATTGTATTAGGCCACTATTGTAAAAGTCAAGGAAAGGTTTATACACAGAAGGAAACTGTTGGTTACCAGGGATGGGAGGGAAAATTCCATACATACACATACATAAATATGGACCTCTGGTGGCACAGTGCCTAAGGCATTTTACTACTAACTAGAAGGTTGGCGGTTCCAACCCACCAGCCGCTCCGCGGAAGGAAGACTGGGCAATCTACTTCTGTAAATATTTACCACCTCGTAAATCCAAAGGGGGTCACTATGAGTCAGTATCGACTCGATGGCAGTGAGTTTTTATACGTGTGTGTGTGTGTGTGTGTGTATGTATACATATAAAAGATCATTAGTGATTACTGGAGGGGGGGCTTTTGTTTGTGGGACATTAAGTTTAATGCTAATTATGGTAGAATATTTTGGAAAAGGACAGCAATAAGGATGGCACAGCAAGAAAAATGTCATCAATGTTCCTGAGCTATAAATGAGGAAGCTGTTTTTTTGGTAAATGTCTTGTTGTGTATGTTTTCACAATAAAAGCAAAATAATAATAACAATTAGCAATAAGACGACAAAAAAAAAAAAGAACAAAACCTCATTCTCTTTAGCCATCACCCACCCCTAATTTCCCTATCTCCCCGCTCCCCCACATTCTGATCATTTCACATAAACAGGATCAGTCAATGTGGTCTTTGTGTCTGGCTTCGTTCATGTAACAGTGTTTTCAAGGTTCAGCCATGTTTTAAGTACATATCAGAATTGCATATCCTTTCCTGGCCAGGTATTCCATTGTATGGATGACTCGTTACTTTCATACATTCTCTATAAAGAAAGATGATGACTGTTTTGGTCACCTAGTGCCACTCTGACAAGAATATACCACAAATGGAATGGCTTGAACAAATAGGCGTTTATTATGTTACAGTTTGGAGGCTTGAAGTCCAAGTTCAAAGTACCAGGTTCTAGGGGCTAGATGAAAGCCCCCAACCCTGGGGTTCAGCTCTGCCTCCTGCTCCCAGCCCACTGGAACTAGAGGCTTTTCTTCACTCAGACAGCTGCTGGCTGCTGATGCTGACAAGCCCAAGGTTGACAAGTAAAAGGGCACAGTCTCATGTGTTACCAGACCACACAGCAGGCCATTAATTCAAGTCCATTGAAAGTCCCAAGGTGAGCAGAGCATGGCAGGCTGCTGAACGACAAGCTACATGCAGGGTTCAAGCGTGCCATAAGCTAGAGACCATTCCCAAAGCTGTTTCTTATATACAGGAAGCAGACCACTTACCCAAAGCAGCTACTCAGCTGCTCCAATAGATCCCACCATAGAGTTAATTACCAGTCTCATCAAGTAGAGTAACTACATTCAGCTGCCCAGCCACTCAACCAACCCAGCCAAGTTGACACACAAACTTAACCACCACAATGACTCTGCTTCTGAGCATTCGAACAGAAACCATATTCAAACACACCCAGCGGCGCCGTGAGAGACAGGCCTGGTGACCTGCTCCCAAAAAGTCACAGCCTTGAAAACCCTGGGCAGCAGTTCTAATCTGCACATGTGGTTTCCATGAGTCAGAATCAACTCGATGGCAACTAACAATAACTTAATTGTTTTAAAATTCCCTAAAATTGACAGTGCTTGCACAGGGAGACAGCTCAGGGGGCAGGAATGCATAGAAAATAAGGACACAAGGAAGAGGTGACCACAGGGAGGAAGTGGGGAGAGAGCTGTTATACTGTGGGGAATTGCAGTCGATGTCATGAAACAGAATGTGTATGAATTGCTGTATGGAAAATGAATTTGCTCTGTAACCTTCCACCCAAATCACAATTACAAAAAAAAAAAAAAAAAACTGACAGCAGCAACTTGAAAGGTTAGACAGGAAACGTAGGGGACAGTGGGTTCACGTTAATGGGGGGAGGAATAACTCAGAAAAGGAGGGTGAGAATGGTTGCCCAATTTGGCGAATGTCATGTCACTGAACTGCACATGCAGGAACTCTTGATGTGTGTTCTGCTGTGTGTATTCTCAACAGACAAAAATAAATTATAAAACAAACGTTTCTTTAAGGTCACACAATATTTTAAATTTTAAAGTAAGTTGCTATATCTGAATCAAAATTTGACTTTTCACTAAAACATGGCATAGGGAATAGGAGTTAGCAGAGCCTGAGAAAACCAAGAGGCAAGGAGCCCCTCCGCCTCCACCCACCAGCAGAGGGCGTCACCCCAAGGCGGGCCCCAAGCACGCGGACTGTCAGGAGCTCCTTACCGACATCCATCCACTCCGGAGGGACCAGGCGACACTTCTGTCTTTGTTTCAGGTTCACTGCCAACCACAGAGGTACTTCCACTGGTAAACCGGGGTTAAACGGCCCCAGGTCCCCCTGCCAACGGTGCAACAGGCCCCGTAAGATGAACGCGAACAAACAGCACAGGGAACCCCAAGGCTAGCCATCAGGGTAAGGGCGCTGCAGCCACTGAGGTCCCGACGGAAACAGAGCCCCAACCGTCACTGCGGACCCGCGACGAGGCACCTCTGGACGCCCTGGGACCCCTGGTCTTCGCACCCCACCTGTTGGCTCGGACTAGCCGGGAGGGCCCGTGCCACGGCCACCTGCCGGCACCTGGGAGACATGGAGCACGACCCAGCGCCGCGCGCTCCCGCCTCGGCTCCACCACGGCGTCGACTGCGACCGGCGACCCCGCGTAACACGGTCAAACTGCCCCCACTGAGCTTCACGGGTTTTCGTCTTCACAGACGCGACCACAGTCTGTCTCCCCCGGTTTCGAACCGCCGACCTTGCGGTTGACAGCAGAGTTCAATGTCACCAGGGCCCTTCCCACCGCTGACCTCCCGTTTCTAGGGCACATTTATTAAACAGAACCTTGGTCTCCTCGGGGTCGGAGGGCACGGAGCCTCTCATACACGCCCTGGGGCCTCCCTTAAAACGCGAACCCCGCGGGCTGGGCTTCACCTCTCTGACAAACCGGAGCTGAGGGGCGCGAGACCACGGAGCCCAGCGGCGGGGCAGGCACGCGCCGCGCCCCCAGCCTCCTCCTCTAGCCTCGGCTTCCCCGCAGGGCTGCGCCCCTCCCCGCCCGACTTAGCCGCCGGGTCACCTCTGGGATCGGATCGGCCCGGCGCCCGCCCGCCCTTACCCCGATGAGGTAGATCTTATCCAGACTGAAGTTAGGGATAATGGTCACCATTTCCTTCTCGGCCAGAAACTCCACCTCGGCTGGGTCCATGAAGGCGCGGAGCGGCCTGAAGTCAGCGCGCCAGCTGCGCCCCTCAGAGTCTCAGAGGAGCCAGGCCGCCTTTTCCCGCCACAGCGCGGAGCCCGCCCCCGGCCGGAAGAGGCCCCCGCCAGGCCAATGAAAGAGCAGCGCTCTCCGCGGGGCGGCGGGAGGCGGAAACCGCCGTTGCTACGATGCCGGGGACTGGCTGGAGGCTTGCCTCCTCGCCCCGCCCACGGGACTGCGAGGCTCTGGCGCCGCACACCTGGGCGCCCCACGCGTCTCCACGACCTGCACCTGCGTCTCCCGCCAACAGCACGAGTTCACACCGCGGCTGCGCGCAGCTGCGGTGGTGTCTGCACAGGCCGGGAAGCAATATACTTACTCAGCCAAGTTTAAATCGCCTTGATTGTGGAGCTGCGGAAGTGGTCGGCTGCCAAGTGACAGGTTCCCCAGTTTGCACTCATCAGCCGCTCCATGAAGGTGGCAGTCTGCTTCTGTAAAGCTAACAGCCTTGGAAGCTCTATGGGGCAGTTCTCTGTCCTACAGGGTCGCTATGAGTCCGAATCCACTGGAAGGCAGTGGGTTTGGTTTGGGGCCAAGTTCAGTACCAGGCAGACTCCGGGACACAAGGATGGGGATGTGCAAAAGGACACAAAAGACGACCTAAAGGCTCCCAAGGACACAGCTTGAGCCCGAAAAGAAAGTAGTACACAGTTAAAACTCAGAAGCATTAGACTAATACCCATTAATGTAGTAGATACCATGAAATTGTACACCTGGAAAATGTTTAATCGGCGAATGTGTTATATTTTTTATAACTAAAAAATGAGATGAGTAACCGTGAGTCCATACTGTTACAAGTGATTGAACAAATGGCAAAAGACACAAATGTCGCATGCAGAAGAATTCATTTAGATAATTAACAACTAAGGTGGATTCTTCACCCTGTCACCGCTGGAGTGCAACTCTCCACCCCTTAAGCATGGGCTGTGCAGTGACTTCTTTCCAGAGAGGTCGTGTATGGAGACCCTGTGGAGTGCAGTTCTACACTTGACACACAGGGGGCGTCACGAACAGGAGTCACCTCCACCACAGCTGGGCCCGGAGGGGCGGAAAGCATGGTGCCCTTAGACAACAGTGGTTAGAAATGAAGCAGGACAGACAACCAGGGCCAGACCTCAAGGGCCCGCCCTGCAAGCACTTCCAAGCACTTGGACTCGACCCTGAATGCAACAGGAAGCCATTTCAGGGATACGGCTAGAAAGTGCCATGGATGGGTGTGCATTTGAAAATGTACTTTAAACGAGCTGGGGATGGGACACACAGCCTACCAGCCGGGCACTCACCTACAGTCTGTGAGCAAGAGGGCTGATGGTGATGGCCGCAGGGACCCAGAAAGGGGTAGGTCCAGGGCCCACCTACTATCTATGCCGTATCCAGAACGGGGAGGCCTGAGAAAGTTCCACATCTGACCCAGGTGTCACAGGTATTTCCCTGTCTACCTGTGGCTCTGGCACAGCTTGGCAGCAAGCGTGCCCCTCCCTGGGGGGGCTGCGTTTTCCTTTCCACAGTTTGCAGGCCTCCTGGGTTTGGCGGGGGAGCCATTGTGCCAACCCCACTGCGCACATCACGGCAGAGCCAGGCTCTCTCAAATGGCTCCGACATGGTGTGACTACACTCTTGTGTCTTTTTGCCATCTGCTGCTGTCATTAAAAAATTACATTTCCATCTGCTTTCACACTTTGCTCCCCTCCCAGCCTCCCTTCCTGGAGGAAGACGGTGCGAATCCCAAGTCGCAGGACCTGAACGGTTCCCTCGCCTCTGGGAACCTGGGAACTTCCCCAGGGCACACCAGGGTCATGGTTAATGGGCTTTACCAGGGCTGTGAGTTCCAATCCATTTCCTCTTCATTTGCCATTGGCTGTGGCCCATCACTACCCTCAACACACATACACACTTTGGGGGAGCCATTCACAAAGACTTCTTTTTTGGGGGTGGTTTTAATCAGTATGTTTGGCTTTGGCATTAAAAATAAATGAAAAATAAACTACAGACAGTAGTAACCGTGTTATTTAAGGAAGAACAGACTCAAAAAACAAGAATCAGGCAGTGAGGTTCTGGGTTGAGAAGAGCTTGTGATTCTAGACCAATCCCAAAGAGTGCCCCCCACCCACAGAGTGTCCCCTCTTTTTATTAGGTCCCTGGGTGGTGCAAACGGTGCCCGCTCTCAGCTGCTCACTGGAAGGTGGGAGGTTCGAGTCCACCCCAGAGGTGCCTCAGAAGATCTGCTTCTAAAACACTCGGCCCTTGAGAAGCCTGTGTTGTTGTTGTTGTTATTTGCCGTAGAGTCGGCCCCGACTCATAGCGACCCCTCCTTGGGTTTCCGAGGCAGTATCGCTACGGAAGTAGGATTGCCCAACCTTCCTTCCAAGGAGTGGCTGGTGGGTTTGAACCGCCAGCCTTCTGGTTAGCAGTCAAGTGCCTTAGGCACTATGCTACCAGAGCCCCCTGAGAAGCCTGTGGGGCAGTTCTACTCTGACGCACATGGGCACCATGAGTCAGCCTGGAGCTGGCAGGGACTGGTCTTTTGAACGAGGTGTCAGCCTCACATAAAACCCTACAAAGAAAGTTGTGGTAACACTAATCAGCCTGTTGATCTCAAACACAACTCTGCAAGCACCAGGGCCATCACTAACTCCTTAGAGGACTTTTTTATTTTCTCTTGTGACCAGTGCCAGCCTCTGTCCTAAGCCCTTTCTGTGTGTTCATCCATTTAATCTCCCGACGGCCTCACTGTCATCCCCATCTGGAAGCTGGGGCTCAGAGAGGTGAAGTCTTTTGCTCCAGGTCAGTAACATACAGGCACTGGGCCTTGGCGTAAGGAGTTCTGGCATCTGACTGCTAACCAGAAGGTCGGTGGTTCAAACCACCATCCACTCCATGGAAGTAAGACTGGACAATCTACTTCTGTAAAGATTTACTGCATCAGAAACCTAATGGGGGTCACTATGAGTCAGAATTGCCTCAATGGCAGTGGGTTTGGTTTTGGTTTGGGCCTTGGGCTGGGAAGCAGACCCAGGTGGGGATCCAGGTAGAAGCAGTTTATTCAGAAGGCAATCCCAGGAAGAGAAGAAAGAAGGGGGGAATTCAGGGGAAAGGGAAGGCCGCCAGTTCAGGTTAATGGGCAGATGACCTACCACTGCTGGCAGCTAGGGCTCAGTGTCCCCAGGAAGCTTGGACAATGAGGGGGTCTCGATTCTCTACATGGGGCTGGGGACCAGTAGCACCCCCGGCCCTGGGAGCTGGTCAGAAATGCAGTCTCAGACTCCACCCCAGGCCGTCGGTATGGGAACCTGCATTTGAATCAGAGCCGAAAGGTTTAAGCACATTAAAGTTTGAGAAGCACTGGTATAGTCTAGAACATTCCACCAAGGGGCAGGAAGCTGGGGTACCCACTAAGCCCTGCTCCTCCCAGAGGTGTTAGCATCCAGCACTTCCAGCCCAGCTCCTCTTGCACCAGTGACTATCCCAGCCGCGGAAGACGCAGGTGCCTGCGGTAGAGGGCCAGTCTCACAAGGGCAGGTGCTGCTAACACCCACTAAACGTGTGACCCCGTGGGGTCCGCTCCTGAGCCCACCCTCTCACCATCTCCCCCACCAGTCAGCTTCACCACACGTTCATACCCATCAGTTCACACAATCCCCATTCCCCAGGTGAGCAAACTGAGGCCCAGAGAGATTGTGGCCTGTTCAGTCAAAACGACCTCCCTAATTAGGTGTTTCCTCTGCACCTGGCTCCATGAGGTTGCTGTGGATTGTTTTACTTTATCCTTATTTGCTGCAGAAGAAAAGTATGACAAACAAGGTCATTATAATTACAGGCATTATATTCTACGGGTGAGGGAACAGAGGCTCAGAGAGGTTGGGAGACCTGCCTAAGGTCACACAGCACAATGGGGATGTGGATGACACCAAAGCCCCTTGCTTATACCCACTGCCCCCTGTTCTATCTCACAGCTCATAGGAGGGCACAGAGCTGCAGTGGGGGGCCCTGCCTCCCAGTACTTGTGCTCTCCCAGGGTGAGAACTTGCACTGAGCTGGCCCTTCCACCTCTCCTCTTCCTCACATGGGGAGACAGAGCTTGCTTGAAGACAGAGAGGCTTCCAGGACAGGAGCTGGGGGGCAATGAGAAGCGTCACAGGGTTCACTGCAGTCTGTGGTGCAGACATCCCCAGGAGGGCCTCTCTCCCTGACTCAGCAGGTACGGTCTGCAGAAGCAGTAAGACCAAGATCCTTCTCCAGCGGAGCGGTGCAGCCTCCTCACCCCTCCCACCTGCATCCCTGCTCACCCTCCACTCCGTTGCCATGGGCACTAAAAGCCTGGGATGAGGCTGATTAGCCAAGCAGCCTGCTGAGCCGGTTGGAGGCCACTGCACAGTGCCCAGGGAGAGGAGGGACCCTCAGCCTGGGCACTCAGCCAGCCTCCAGGGACACGCTCCCAGTCCTGGCCCTGAGACCCAGGGTCCCCGGATTCAAGAGGGAGAGGGACTGGAGCAGAAGATCAAGTCTCACTCCCAGGTGGAGACGAGAGCTTGTTGCTGGTAAGCAACGAGAAACGCTTCCTGGGAAGCAGCTGGGTGGATGGTGAGAACGTGTGTCCTGGGCTCCAGTCCTGTCTCTGGGAGTCACCATCCAGTGACCTTGGGCAAGTGGTTTCACCTCTAGGTTCCACAGGTCCCCCATCTGTAAAAGTGACCAATAGCAGTACCTACCTGTGGAAGTGGGAAGAGAGCTGTTACACTGAGGGGAATTCCAGCCAATGTCATGAAACAGAATGTGTATGAACTGCTGCATGGAAAATGAATTTGCTCTGTAAACTTTCACCCAAATCCCAATAAAAACTGTTGTTGTTGTTGTTACGTGCCGTCGAGTCAAACCCAACTCATAGGGACCCCTCCTTGGATTTCTGAGACAGTATCACTATGGAAGTAGATTGCCCAACCTTCTTTCCGAGGAGTGGCTGGTGGGTTTGAACCAGCAGCCTTCTGGTTAGC